AGTCAAATTAGCTAACCATAGTTGAAAAATAAGATATGTGATTTGAAATCATAAAGCTGTTGTTTCAAAATGAAAAGAAAGGGTTTAAAAGAGGCTCCTTATACCCTTTCTTTTCATTTTGAAACAACAGCTTCATGATTTCAAATTACATATCTTATTTTGCCTCGTGAAATCCATTACTTTATTTTGGCATTATGCTAATTTTTGTTTTTCCAATAAAGTAATGAGTTTCATGAGGCAAATTTAGGATTTCTAGAACATGGCGATAACTACTTTTAAAAAAAAAGAAAGTAAAAGATGCATTAAGTAGAAACTGATCTCTAATTCTCAAGGTAAATCACTCGGTATTTTGTATCAATATTCTAACTTTATTATAACATGAGAGGCAATAAATAATATTATATTAATTCAAAATATATATACATAAAATATCTAGTTTTATAGAGAGATCACATATTCACGTGCCCAATTTTTAAGGTATGAATTTGCCCCTCTTGTAGAACCAAGAAAGGAATAAAACCATGATTTTCACCTTCATTTGGACAAGAATGAGGGGGAAAGATCAAACATTAACAAAACTCACATAACAATTTCTTTGATCCTCCTGGTAGTGTCAGCCATAGGCGGCCGCCTTTCGGGGTGATGGGATGTACAAGAAATAGCAAGATGCAGCAATGAAACCATTTGCACTTCATCACAATTCTGAAAACTAATCAACTCAGGATCAAACACTTGTGTTGTCCCCCTCTCTTCAACTATACATTTCACCCATTTAGGCAGGTCAATTCCCTCGTCGTTGATGACACTACTAGGATTTTTACCCGTTAGGAGTTCCAACAGAATTGTGCCAAAGCTATAGACATCAGCTTTCTGGGAAACATTTCGAATATCTGTCACCTCAGGGGCGTAGTATCCAGTCATTTTGGAGTTCGATGTTGAGGAAATCAACTGTGTTATGCCAAATTCAGATAGATATGCATCGTAGTAGTGTGTGAGGAGGATGTTAGATGACTTGATGTTGCCATGAGTAACTTTAGGGCCTAGTGAATGGAGATATTCGATACCATTGGCAACTCCTAATGCAATTCTGCTCCTTATTACCCATGTCAATGCTTCTTGTCCTTCGCCTAACAAAATCAGAAAGGTTAAAACTAACTCATAGTAATAGTAATTGGTTAGAATACGAAATAATTAATACTAGTAAAATTCTATAGTTCGTTTTCATAACATTTAATAGAATGTGAGTTGATAGAAGGCCTATTCAACTAAATACTAATTAAGGAGGCTTTCCCTCTACACAGAAAGTTCTTGTTGTACGTCCCTTTCTCTCTAATAATATTACATGGGTCCTTCATTAGTTGTGATGTGAACATCAGTATACACAACATCAAAAATTATCTTTAGCCACTATTAATTTACGACAATAGCTTAATTGTTGTTAAGGAGTATATTTTTAGAGGTAATTACTAGTGGCTTTTACATTTTAACACTCTTTGTAAATGCCGCTAAGCCTATAGCGACAGTGGATCTGATAACAATTAACTAATGTAAAAGAGAACTACCAAATGGTCTTCTTCCTTTCCTCTGTTTTCATACCATCTCTTCCACATAATTTCAGTTTTCATAGCTAAAGCTAAAAAACAATTAACTAGAAGCTAATCTAATCTAAGCCAAGAATTTTAATTAAGTTGATTGACGCCCTAACCAAAACCAGAGAAAACAAACCAATTAGAACTACCAAAAGAAGTAAGTAACAAATATTATTATTAAAACAACAATAAGCTAAAGTTTAGTAGAAATAAGATACTTACCATGCAAAATAGCATACAAACTTGTAGGCATAGAATCATAAACAACAAGCTTTTCATCTCTTCCATAATAATATGCTCTAAGAGGCACCAAATTCCCATGACTAATTCCTCCCAATTCGTCCACTTTTCCCCTAAATTCCTCTTCTGAAACACAAACATTTCGCAACCTCTTCGCAACAACTTCAACATCTCTATCTAAATATGCTTTATAAGTAGTTCCAGTTAACCCTTTCCCCAAAACCTCCGCGGACGCCATCAATAAATCCTCCAAACTAAAAAGCTCAAAACTTTCCCCAAAAAACACCATCCCTTTTGTCCTATCATCACAAACTTTCCTCTTGCTATCTTTCCTCTCCGAATAAACATTTTCGATATCATGATTTTCTGTCACCATTGAATCATGAGGACTCGAAAGTACTTGATTTGGCGTAGGAGAGACGTTCACTTGACGGAAACTTTTTTTACTCCTATAAATTGATCTCACTAACATAAACAAAACTAATAGTAGTATGAAGAATCCGATAATCGAGCCAATTACTATTCCAGCTATTGCTCCACCGGAAAGTTTATCCGATTGATTGGTGAGGTTATTGTTTTCAGGACAAGGACTAAGAGTGAAAGCAGAGCCACAGAGTGAATTTCCGAGAAATGAAGAAGCTACGAATTGACCTAAACTCGAAGGGATCGAACCGGTTAATCTATTGAAAGACACATTGAATTCATTAAGCTGTGAGAGGTTTTTCAAATCAGGAAGTGAACCAGAGAAGTTGTTATTCTCCAAATACAGAGTTCTCATCCTAGTCAGATTGTTAAACGCGTCCGATATCTCACCAGAGAACCTGTTCCCTGAAAAACTCACGCGTATAAGATTGTTCAGATTGAAAAAAGTCGTTGGAATTGAACCAGAGAAGTCGTTGTTTTCCAAATTAAGTATGCGTAGCTCTGTACATGATCCTATGTCAGAAGGAAGAAGACCGGATAAAGAGTTACTCCGAAGGCTGAGAGTACGGAGTTCAGTTAAGTTTCCGATGGAATTTAAGGGTATCTCACCGGATAGACCATATCCGGGGAGACGGAGATCAATTACACGGTTGATTGTAGTATCACATTTGACACCTTGCCATAAACATGGGGTTGAATTGGTTGTGTTCCACCCAAGAGTGCGGCCTTTGAAGGCCGCACTGAGGTGGAGTAGAGCGGCTCTATCCGCGTTAAGGTCCGAAAAGATCCCGGAAATTAGAAGAGAAAGGAAAAGGAATGAAAGAAAATGACTAGAAGACATTTTTTTTTTTTTGTGGTTTGGAAGTGTGGACGTGTTGCTTAGTTTAATTATTTTTTTGTGTGGATTAATAACAGAAATTCATCAATAGGAAAATGACCATTGATTATTAAAGTCAATGGCGTCTACTTTATGAAGTCGTCAGTTTGGACTTGTTCAAGCTTTCTGGGATTACAAGGAATTTTCATTTTTGGGTGTTATTTATTATTTGAAAGTATTTTAGGTGTTAAATGGCAAAGTCATGGTATAAAAAGTTGATGTCAAGAAAATTTAGGTTTGAGTTTGAATTTTGGATTGGTTTACGAGAAGTCAAGAAAATTTACTATTTCCTCTTGTCTTCTAGGGAGTTCAACATTAGAAACTGAATTTAATAGACTAAGTGAGTTGATCATATAGGAAAAAAATAGTGCTAAAAATGGATTAGGGTTTTATTCCACCAAAAAAATGAAAAAAAGGTTCGAGGAGAATTAATCGTATAATTTATCGGCTACCATGCACGTATGAAAAATAGAAAATTATTTTAATAGAGTTATTCTTATTTATTCCGAAAATAATATAGTAGTTGAATTTGTATGTGAGGTTTAAAGGATATGTGAATTAAATTGATCGGGATGCGAAGCTATTAAATAAGAAGTGAGATGAGACAATTGAGTGTATTAAATAATATTGTAGCCTGTCGATAAGACATCCAATGATATATTTGGTGGAGATATTCCCAAAAAAGTTTGACGATTACAAAAAGCTGGTGAACAAGTAACGAAATTGGTAGAGAAAAATTGAAAGTATTCAGTCAAGGAATTCAATGATTTACAACACATTGGTTCTATAATTATATTTCGATCATGCGTCTTGTTTAGCTTTGTCTTTGCTGATTCTTACTACCTTCCACGTGTCATGATTTTATACATCCATATGTCTTGACTATTTTTACCCTATATATATATAGCATGTTCTCTAGATCAATTTTTTTCTCTATGAAACTATACTAGGTATCTTTGAATATAATTTTTGAGGTTGTCCAGTGGAAGTTCACAACAATTGAGAATTCAACGCATTTCCCTATTATTGTTCTCCCTCCGTATAAAGACGGTTACGCCTTGGAAATCTCTTTTCCTAATTATCAGATCAGAGAGATTGAGAGTTTGTGAAAATTACACAGAGATCCTAAATGAGGCTTGTTGTGTTGTGTATATAGACAAAGTAGTGAGTTGTGTTTATATTGAACTACACATGCCAGAGCTTCTGCATTGCTATTGGTCCACTTTAAAAGTTAGTTAGAGTTTTTTAGTTAGTTACAAGTTGTTTAGTGGAGTCATATTAGTTAGTATAATCCTCTTAGAGTTTTTTAGTATATAGTTTTTTAGAGTTTTTTAGTATAATACAAGTTGGTCTTAAATATGCTATGTGGAAATTAAAGTCAGAATTAAAGAGACGTTAAAAAAGAAAAGAAACATTCTATTTGAAAAGGACTAAAGTGAAAAGTAGGACAAACAAAGGAGGAAGCAATATATAGGTAAAAAAAAAGATGGAGCAGCATTGAACAAAATGATTTGTAATTAAATCATTGAAATGAAAAGAGTAGGTAAAGAATTATGAAACGAAACTGTCTCATAATTCAAACTGTCTATATAATTCAAAAAGGAAAAGAGATTTGTGACAAATCTACAACTACGTCTAATAAGTTAAATGAATAAGTGCATTCAATTTGCACTAGAATAAACTACATCACCAATATAATTCAAACGAAATTGCCTTCATCTCTGCCAGCTCTCCACTTTCGAGTTCCACACACCGATGCTCCAAGTCAAATTTAGTGACTTTTACTTCTTTTAATTGACTATATTTGTGACGCTTGATTTCATGACAAGGAGAATTCTTCATATATATTAAACGATCCATGAAACAAGATATCATTTCAATACTTGATTTTTCTTAGGATGACAACTCCATAGCAAAGCATCCACAAGTAGTGTTGGGCACTTGTCAGACGATTCTATACGTACAACTAAATCGTTCACTTTGGGGGTTGCAACTGTATGGTGCAGCACCAAATCTTTCAAGTTGATCTCACTGCATTCCTCAAAATTAAGGGAAACTAGAGACCAAGAGCTCGACTTTGATAGAAATTTCCTCAATTCACCAAACCATTCAGCATTCAAAATTTTCAAGCTATCGAGACATAATTGTGATTTCTTCAGTTGGCGACACCTTTTTGCAACTTTAAGCTCAGGAATTTGATCTTCATCATACTCGAGTGATACCAAATTTGGAGCATCAATCTCCTGTAATCCCTTGCAATTCTCAATCGCCAAGAACTTTACGGATGGACTCCCGCAGATTTTGAACCTTTCCAGCCTTGTAGAAACGTAATCTAATGTCAATCTCTCGAGGAATTGAGATGTAGAAATAAGGCACTGGAGAAATCCTTCAGATATCCTCATATCTATTAGCTGTAAAGATTTTAGATTTCGACATTCAACAATATCCAATACAGGGGAATCTTCCAGAAAACACCCAAAATAAGACAAGTGTTGTAGAGTCGGTGTCTGGATTGTAACACTCTGGTTCTTGCAGCAACTAATAGAGACTGACTTGATATTTTGAAGATTTCGCAGCTCAATCTTTGTCAATAAACGACAATGCTCAATGATAAAATCATCAATCAAGGGACAACAATTGAGCAGAGCTCGAAGCATGTTGTCGTCTAATCCAACCTCAGTTAGAGAAAGCTTTCTCAAAGAATGACAGCTTATCACTTGAGTAGTAGTAATAGACAATGAATGATCCAATATGAGATTACATCCCAACAGAACCAATTCTCTTAAAGATTTTGGTGCCAAGAATGTGAAAATAGGGAAAGGGTATGAAGGGAGAGAAACCTCACACGACAAATCTTTTACACCATTCTGAAGAGCAATGCCGAGCCACTTATCCATTTGAGGAAAAACAAAAGGACGATGAAGAGATAAAATTGTAACTGAAAGTTGAAATTTTTCAATAGGGATTTTTGTTTGCCTATATCTCTCCATGACTTGATCCACAATTTTCCTATCATGAATATTGTTGCCATGTTTTGAAGACAATAAGGTGAATTCCAAGTTGGGATGAGTTAACCAAGCTTGTAGCCATGTTTTGGAGACAAGGCTCAACTTGGCTGATTCTTGAAAACTAAGATAAGAGAGTTTTTTGTGAATAACGCATTCAGACAACACGTCCATACTAGTCATGACTGGAATTCGATACAGAGTCTATGAAATTATGTTGTATTTATAGAATGCAAATTGTGTAAGTCTTGAGAAACCCTTTCCTAGACAAAGTTGGTTAAGCTCTTCCTTTTTCGTTAAGTATCTTATAATTAAGAAAATTGTGGTTTCCAAAAATAGTTTTTTGGTATTATGCTTTGAGAAATTTTATAAATAGTAACTTTAACTTCTTTTTTTAATTGAATCTTGACCCAGTTAGGCCGGTTTTATATATGTAAACTACTAAAATTGTTAAAAACTAAAAATATCTGACCATTCCAAAAGTGGCCGCTCAATAAATTAACTAAATTAAACAAAAAAACAAGTAGCAAAAATAAATTGGAAACAAATTTCTTCTGGAAGGGTCCAAGAAACAAATAGTAACTTAAACTTGTTTTTTAGGTAAAACTGTTTTCTTCTTTTTCATCTAAAGCAAAAAATATTATATTGATTTATGTACTTAGTTAATAGTTATTTCGTTCATACAATTAGCCTAATATATGTTCTTTAACTACGTCTTTTTTCACTAAAGTCATGCTTTTGTTTTCTTTTGAATCCGAATAAACATCTTAATATTTAAATCTGTATTAAGATTTAAACTTCTAAATTTGAATGCGCATTTAAAATATTTAAGATATTGCATTAAGATCTAAATAGTTAAAATTGTCTATTTTTTCAACATTTTAATGTTTAAAAATTGCCTTTGTTTAAGGAATATAACTATAAATATAAATAAAATACTAAATTAATTAAATCAAAAGAAAAAGCAAAGAAAATAAAAATAATAAAGAAAATCAATAGAAAAAAGAGAGAAAACCCAATGTATGAAGGTAAAAAATTAAGAAAAAAAGATTTAAATACAAGGTAAACTATATATTTTTTAATTATGTATATTCACTTAGATTAAATATACAAGATAAAGAAAATAAGAAGATTTTATAATAAATATTTTAAAAAGGTTAAATAAACATATACACAAAAAAAACTCTAGAAATCTGAAAAATCCTTTAGTAATTTATTTAGGCTAATATAGTTTGATAAATAATAAATGAATATGTGAAAGAATCTCAAAGAACATCAAGAAACACTTTATAAAGGCAGCCAATTGTTTCTATTTTCAGTGAGTAATTTTTCTTTAATCTTACCTCTTGATTTCTTTTTCATCTTTGTTTTTTCTCTTAAAGTAAAATTTAAATGAAATAAAAAATGGAGTATGTATAGTTGATAGATATATGTCAGAACTACAGACTCGCCAAATTTAATTCTCATTATCGTCAAACTTCGTAGGATGATATGTGAAGACCATCATCGCCATTGTTAATGCTAGTTGTTATACCTTTATTTTTCACCCCGCACTTACAAGAAAAGACAAAAGTTTTGAAGAAACAAAAAAGAGTTTTCCAATTAATGTGATGTTTGAAAATAAATTATTTGTTATTCAGAGTCATCACTTGGAATTGAGTTTTGGTGTTCCAAGTTACCTTATATAAAGAATAAGTACGAGAAGCTTTTGAGAAAATAAGAGCAGATGGTTGTTCTGTCGTATTGTATTGTATTTATACATTTTGTACATATTGACATAAGTATAAGAGTCCTAATCTAATACCAATTCTAAAGGAAGAGTAATCCTTTGTTACAAAGAATGAGCTACGACAATTGAATTTAAAATTAACTACAATATTTGAATTCAAATAGGTGAGGAATCTCTAATAGCCTCCTGCAAGAACATGTTCTTGATCGAACCATGAGCTTGGATCTAAGGTTGAGGAACCGAGTTGTGCCAACAACTTTAGTAAAGATATTTGCTATTTGATTTTGAGATGAAACATAGCGAACCACCAAAGATTGATCTTCAACCATCTCTCGGACAAAGTGATAATTGATGCTTATCATGACCAACGACACTGACCTACGGTATGAGTGTCTACGATCGTCGATAATATAATAACCCAACCAAGGGTTGGGGTCGTGTCCCAAGGGAGCGGTTTTGAGAATTAATAACCAATTAGAATTTCATTCAAGTTAGTCGTAGTTAAAACATTTGCGATAAAAGACATTGTAAATTAAAGGGGGTGACACAAAAGTGTCAAATATCAAAAGGGGGTTTTGTAATAAGTATTAAAACAACAAAATAAACAAGAAAATCAAGTATGGGGTAAGGTTCTTGGGATGTGATCGCAATATAAGTTGAGATAAATTGTTGGGTACATGCTTTCAATAGGAAATTTGCAAGACAATAGTGACTAGGCTAAGCTTTAAATGGAAATAAGTTCCCTCTTGGGCAACTTACCCCGTTTCAAATGTGTTCCTCTCGGACATCATTTGCCGCATGAAGACCAGCCTACGTCTTACCTCACTCACTCTCTCGAGCTGAGTGTTAGAATATGGGACTAGGGCTCACCCTCTCGGGTTGAACCTCATGTCGACCCACTCCTTAGGCCATCAATCTAGTGATTTTGGTTTCGCGACCTCCCTCTCAGGCAAGCTAAAAACACATGGGTGACTTTGTATTTGCAACTACAAACCCTTTAGATTAAACCACAACCACTAGGTGAAATCACCATTAAAATACATCTAACCTATCAGCAAGCAAGACCCAATAAGAATATCAACCCATATTTGCTAAATCACACCCAAGAATGGGGGTTTTTAGCCACACATCAAGAAATAACAAATTACACCTAAAATGATAATGAAATCAAATGGGTATAAGAAATTAAACCTTGATTTAAGCAAATGAAGAAGAATGGATAAGACCCACTTCCAACTTGGGGAAGACAAATTCCTTCTTTCTTCAAGTCTTCCAAAATCCTCTCCAAACTTGAGAGAAAAATACCAGAAAGATAATCTAAAGTAAAAATTACAATAATGTTCAGATCCCTAAAAATAATAACTAAGGCTAGTATTTATGGTTTTCAGATTTAGTGCTGCGGCGGACTGATCAGCGAGGTTAGTAGGAATTGCCGATCGATTCGGCGATTCGCCCATCATCTGGTTCATCGCCTTCTGTGCTTGCCTACAACATCTCTGCGTCTTGGACCATTAGGTGATATTGTACTGTTTCGCGGAACTGTTCGGCGACGCGCCGACTGCTCCTTTTCATCACCAATTTGATCCTCTTTCTTCAGGGCTCCGCGTACTAGAACAAAGGTCGAAGTACGTCCCTTCAGCGATTCGCCAAGTATGTTTGGCGATGCTCAGGCTTCAGTTTCTTCGTTCTTTTCAGCCTCTTTGTTCCTTTTTGCGCCTAAGTGTCCATGCTTCCACTCAAACTTCAAATACTTGAAACTTAAGAGTTTTTTTATCAGATACTGGGATAAAAGAAGCATTTGAGGACACTAATTCTATTAAAATATAGCCCTAAATGAGACTAATTTGTGGACTCATCAATAATCAAGACGAATATGCTTTGATCGTTGATGGATGATAGGATTCCGAGATAAAAACTGTGCACTAAGATTATCACAAAGAACTATGGGAGCTGCAGTAAGAGGAGCATGTAGTTCACTGATAAGTTGTTGTACCTAGATTAATTCAGTAGTTGCCAAAGCTAAAGCATGATACTCAGCTTCAGTGCTTGAGCGGGCTACTGCCTTTTGTTTGCGAGAAGACCAACTGATCAAGTTACCTCCATAAAATAGTGCAAAACCATGTTGGGAGTGACTATCATCAAGGTCAGAGATCTAACCAGCATCCGAAAAGACTACTAGAGTAGAATCAGACATAGGTCGTAGGAAGAGGCCATTATGGAGGGATCTTTTCAAATATCGAAGTATGCGTTTCACAGCTGACCAATGAGAAATGTTGGGTGATTGCATAAATTGGCATACTCGATTGACTACGTAGGATATTTGTGGCCTAGTGATAGTTATAACATATTGAAGGGCACCAACAACACTACGATATAAATGAGCATCATGCAGAGGATCACCAAAAAGAATAAGTGAAGATCCAGGTTCAGTCAGACTAGAAATTGGCTTAGCATCAACCATGTTAGTGCGACGAAGTAAGTCGTGAATGTACTTGCCTTGAGATAAAATAATCCCATATGATGTTGGAGTTACCTCAACACTAAGAAAATAATTTAATGAACCAAGATCCTTGAGAGAGAACTGTTGATCAAGAGAGTGAATAAATGTAGTGATAAAATTACTATCACTGCCAATTATAATAAGGTCATCCACATAAACAAGAACATGTGTTGTGTGCTTAGAAGCTTGCTGCACAAAAGAAGATGAGTCAGATAAACAAGAGCAGAAACCAGTGGCGAGGAGAAAAACCTTTAACTTATTGAACCAAGCACGTGGTTCTTGCTTGAGGCCATATAAGGCCTTGTTCAATTTGCATACAAAATGTGGCCGGTAAGGATCAACGAATCCTTTTGGTTGCTCCATAAATACTTGTTCAGAGAGATCACTATTTAAGAATGCATTGTTAATGTCAAGTTGCCGAATGGGCCACTTATTTGTCACAACTAGAGACAAGATAAGCCGAATGGTTGTGGGCTTAACAACGGGACTAAATGTATCGAGTAATCAACAACCTCCCCTTGATTGGTTCTCATTCCAGATCCATTCAGCTGCTCGAAAACCTTTGGTTTATGTGATGCCTCATCTCCATTCGGCACAAAGCAGTGGGTTGCCAAGTGATGTTTTGACTAACCCCAAAAGTGAAGTTTAGGTGTTAACCCGCGTCCTGCCACAACGTTAACTAAGGCGTTGTTTGGGAGGCAACACAAAACCCTTAAATGTTTTAATTTTTTTTAGAAATAATGGTGTGTTGATGTTGTAGGTTTGGGTGTGGAAAGTGTTGATAGGTGCAGGTTGGCGAGAAAATGTTCCATTCAGCGCATCGCCGATTAGGTCGGCGATCCCGATGAAGACTATTGTTTGGCTCTTCACTTTGACTGAAGGTCCTATAAAACTCGACGAAGTAAGTAATAACTCGGCGTGTCGCTGAGTGGATAAACGGTTGCGACTAACGTC